ATACTTAAGTAAAGTTCAAGTATATTTTTAAGTATACTTTATGTAGTAAGTATACAAATATCAGTGTACTAGTAGTATACTTGTAAGTGTACTATTTCAATACTCCTTGGGACTAAATTGGCCCACTTTCTAGTATATAAAAGTATACTTTAAGTATACTTTAAGTATAACAGTAGTAAACTTTGAGTACACAACTAGTTTACATCAAAATGTTTAGTTTGTACTGCAACTATACTAAAAGTGAACTTATAGGTATACTGATAGTTTACTAATTAAATACTTGTAGTAACATTTTTAGTACACTTTGAAGTATAGTCTCAGTAAACTACTAGTTTAGTAGTTTTATACTGCAAGTATACTCATAAGTTTTCTTTAAGTGAACTTTACATCATACTTTAAGTATACTACTAAGTCCCTATTTAGGTATTAATTTGTATATATTTTGTTACATGAATATCTACACATACAAAACATCAAAAGAACAGGGTATCTGCTTGTAAACAAAAACATTTTATTCTAGCTTCATGCATTCTTTTTTTAAACACTTGAATGTGGATAAGTTTCATAAATAAAAAATAAAGAAATAAACAACATTTTGAACAAAAAGCTGAAAAAAAGACTATGAATTGGATTCAGAATGATAATCAAAACGTAGATAAAGTCGATCAACACCCCAAAGCTTGACAGTTATTATTACCTCTTCATTGGTCGACATTTTATTCCATAACGTTACACAGTTTTGATGCTGTTTTATGTCTGATGATCGTGTTAGAATACATGTGGAAGCATCTGTTGTTTCGGTTTCTTCTTTACTTGTGTTTTTTGGAAATTCTGTACAGAAGATGTGTACTAGCGCCGCCTACAGTATAACAATGAAAACACGGATTCTAGGAACAATAAGTCAAGTATACTTAAATGTAAAAGTATAAGTCAAGTATACTTAAATGTCATTTTAAGTATATTTCTGAGAAGTACATAAAGCCCATTTCTGAGAAGTACATAAAAAGTAGACTAAAAGTATACTTTCCTATTTTTAGTTTAAAAGAAGTATACTAATAGCACACTTGAATAAACTTCTTTTTCGTAAGGGAAAGAATGAGTGCAAGCACTTAAACTGGTAAAATCTTAAAGGTCCTCGTGTTTTTTCACTTTGCAAACAAAGGACAATGAGCAACATCACAAAAGGCTTCACCTCCTCAGCAAGTGTGAACTTCCTTGAAGACCTGTGGGATCTCAACAATAGTGGCATTTTACATTCAAAGCAAGCCTGCAGACGCTGTACTGTGAAGGTCTTCTCAGAGTGTTTGAGCGGGAAAACAGCTGCTGTGTCTCATGTGGAGTTCAGCTCTTCTCTTCCACTCGATCAAACAGAATGCAAAACCAAAAAAACGAATTCGATAAGTGGCAACAGGTGGCAATGCCACAACTAAGAAAAGGGATTCATCTTGACCTGACGTGTACTTGAAGTATGCAGATGACATGCTTTAAAGGGGTCATATGATGCTGCTAAAAAGAACATGTTGCATTGCGCCGTTAAACAGTCCTCCATAAAATGTGCCGGTGATCCACAGCACTAAGTTGATGTATTTCCTCAGCGACCAGCACGGATCAGCTCTTGGCATGACGAAGCGGATATCGTCCTCTTTTGGAAGACCAAACAAAGTAGTTTCGCTTTCACAACGAAGCACACAGCGTCTTCACGACATGGCGGCGGCGGCAACAATACTACAGTCAGAATAAAAGTTACAAAACTACAGCGAGAATAAAAGTTACGCCTTCTTTCTTTGCGTGAACATTTGGGCGGCGTTATGCAAATCTTCCCAGATCGTGACGTAGACATGTGGGGGCGTGTTAGAACGAGCCGTTTTAGGTAGGTGTGGTTAACTCTTAACTTTTATAAAGAATATCTCTTTGGATTTGAGACTTTAGTCTTTGCAACTTTACAGATCTTCTTTATGCACCAAGAGCTTGTAACACTCCAAAGAGAAAGGAACAATTGAAATCGCATCATATGACCCCTTTAACAAGATAACAAGAATCATTCATTTAAAAAATAAAAGTCCCATGAAAACAATGTCCACCTCCACAAAACAAGACATTTGGCCCACTTTAAAGACATTAGGGACATTTTAAGGGCATTTTGCATTATTTTTATAACAATAAATTTTTTTTATATTCTCATTAACACAGAGATATTGTTGTTGTTACTGTATTGTAAAAAACAACAACAGCTGAATAGGCTACTACTTAAACTGTAAATGTGTTAAGCAAGTATGCATAATGGTAGAATTTGTTTATAACTATTAGTACTGAATTTAAATAAATATTGCATCCAAACGGGATCTTTTTTGCATTACAGCGAGAATTTAAGGGAATATTGTCAAGAAAATATTCTGAATTGTAAAGTAAAAAATCTAATTGTCCGAAAAATTTTGGGTTGAAATATTACTAGTATATGTTCATTTTAGTACTTTTTTTTAAAACAATACATTTATAGCAAATGGAAACACAGTACTTCTCTGCATGACAGACTATGAAACGTCTTAAATATAAATGTAATTACGGCCAAAAGTCCTCCAGCCAGAGCCAAACTACTCACAATATTATGAATATTTCTGAACAAAGATCAATTTGCTTAAAGATCTGTGTTTGGTTAAATCCTTCAAGTCGATTCTGACAAAAAAACATAAGCTACTGGATAGTCAGACACAATTACAATACTAAGTCTTCTCATTCATAATTTATGAGACATTGTTTTCCCTTTTCTCCTGTTAGAGTGACATTTAAAAAGACCATGAAGTAAATGATTATGATAATATCATCAAGACCACAAAACAAACGAGAATTTCCAATATGTTATGGAAAATCATCTAATCCAGTGAAACACAGCATCTGAGACATACCTAACACATAACCGCATATACAAACAGCCCTGATGGCCACAGAGTCACACCTTCACGTTGCACAGCGGGGGATATTTCTTCCCAGACTGTCTGTGATTAGCATATGAAAGACAGGAGATGATCCCCCTCGTCCCCGAGATCAAGCAGTGCCCTCAAGTACCTGTGAAATGTCTCTACCCTCCACCCTTTTATCTTTAAAGTCTTCATGCAAATGCTGCAGTTTCTTCTATAGGCCCCGAGGCCGTCCCGCACTCCTACAATGACCGAAGCTATCTCTAACAGTCAAAACTATCGGAATTTCTGTTACACTTAAAAATAAAGGTTCTTTATAGGCGTCGATGGTTCCATGAAGAACCTTAAACATCCATGGAACCACAAAAGGTTCTTTAAAGTGGAAAAAGCTTTTTTTTAGATTATTAAAATGTTCTTCACACTAAGTAAAAAAAAATGGTTGTTTTAAGAATTGATCACTGAAAGGTACTGTGGGAACAAAAAATGGTTATTCTATGGCATCACTATGTTTACACGGCATTTTAAATCATGGCGGGTGAGGGCGTTTTCGTACGCGTTTGGCCAATCAATGTCTACTTACGTCACGATTAGTACCAGTTGTGCTGGTTAGACCCTGCTCATTGCTAATTTGGTTCTCGAAAAAGGCAGTCCGGTACTAAAATCGCACCCAGTTCCGGCGGTGCGAAAACGCCAAAAAGTGGGTAGTTCCACAATTAGTTCTGGTACTATGAAAAGGTTCCCGCGGTTGCGAAAGGCCCTACTGTGAAAACCCACATTTGAAACTTTTAGTTTTAAGAGTGTATAATCAAAGAATCCTAATGGGAACTTTGGCTGAAATCCAATATAAGGCAAAATAAACAGTAGACCTTTTAGAAAGCACAGTTCGAGTTGAACTAATAAAGTTAGTCCCTGTAGGACATCAACAAGACTTGTTCTGACTACAAAGTAGCAAGACTTCCATATGCAAGTTCTAAAAATCGAAAACGAACAACAAATCTTGTAGAACGTTCCGTTTATCCAGGAGGATCTTGATCTGGATTTGACTGGTTCCAAATTACGCTGGAAACTCCAGTAGAAAACCTGTAAGCATATCCTCTTGTTTTTATTTTTTTCAGGAATGACACACACGAACACTCCTGTGGTCACGTCTCCTGGGTTCAGTTATTCAGGAGATCCAAACAGAAACCTCTTTCAGCTATGGGTCACTCCACAGAACATCATGCACCACTTTTAATGGTTCTCCAACGAGAAGCTTCAGGTCTAACATCTTACACCTCCCCAAAACTCCCTCCAGATAAACTCCAGCTCAGGCCAAGCATATTTCATTCAAGGCCACACAGATGTGACTGTTCACTCCTGCTGGAGGAGGCTGCAGAGGAACCTATGCGAAGTCCAGTAAAACTCAACAGATGAGGATCTCACACAGTGGACTTTTTATAGACATATTTATATATCATACCTTGACTTTTAACTTACTTAGCACATCTTATTTCTTTTCTCTGGAATTTCAATTACGTCTACACGATGCGTATATTTAAATAAACTTGTACTTGACCGAAGCAAAGTCTAATTAATATTCAAAGAGTCTAAGTAGATGCAATTGATATTCAGCTCGTGTTTTACCTCATGAAGTTACTACAAACACCCTATCTAGTATAGATAAAAAGACAGACCCGTTTTTCCTTTCTTGGTCTCCTTTTACAGACTATTATGCAAATGTTATTTACAGGCCTCTTTACTGTACTCGAATTTCCGGAAAAAGAGGGTGGATCGATTCATTCATATAAAACATGAGTATCCTTTAGTGCAGCGGTAACACATTGGAAAATGTTTTCCCCCCCAAGCACTCAAGTCTTGCATTTGCTAACACAAGGACTGGAAAGTTTGTGTAAACTCACATCAAACTCCACTAAATCCGGATTAAATCCAGATACGAGTCTCCGCGCAACTAACCCTCGCGCTGGTTTATAGTATCATGCACATCCACGTCTAAACTATTTATGCAAATATGAAGTTCCTGCTCCACGCAAGAACTAGAAACATGTTGTGCTCCGCTCGCTCGCGGAGGGATGCATGCGTTCTTACCTTCAGCGATCAGTGTGAACGCCAGGAAAACACGCTCGGCGCTCGGAACTTTGCGCTCGCGTCTTCTCGTCCAGAAACCCATGGTTTAGGTCGATAAAGGCGACGGGTATCAATTAAAGGCTCAAAAGTTCATGTATGTACAAATACTGCAATCGCAGGCTGTATAAACGCTCAAATCCAGTTTCCTCGAAGCGAGTCGGTCTTTCAGGAGTTCACACCGGTTAGTGCGGAGCTGTGGGTTAGTAGACCTTTTAGAAAGCACAGTTCGAGTTGAACTAATAAAGTTAGTCCCTGTAGGACATCAACAAGACTTGTTCTGACTACAAAGTAGCAAGACTTCCATATGCAAGTTCTAAAAATCGAAAACGAACAACAAATCTTGTAGAACGTTCCGTTTATCCAGGAGGATCTTGATCTGGATTTGACTGGTTCCAAATTACGCTGGAAACTCCAGTAGAAAACCTGTAAGCATATCCTCTTGTTTTTATTTTTTTCAGGAAAGACACACACGAACACTCCTGTGGTCACGTCTCCTGGGTTCAGTTATTCAGGAGATCCAAACAGAAACCTCTTTCAGCTATGGGTCACTCCACAGAACATCATGCACCACTTTTAATGGTTCTCCAACGAGAAGCTTCAGGTCTAACATCTTACACCTCCCCAAAACTCCCTCCAGATAAACTCCAGCTCAGGCCAAGCATATTTCATTCAAGGCCACACAGATGTGACTGTTCACTCCTGCTGGAGGAGGCTGCAGAGGAACCTATGCGAAGTCCAGTAAAACTCAACAGATGAGGATCTCACACAGTGGACTTTTTATAGACATATTTATATATCATACCTTGACTTTTAACTTACTTAGCACATCTTATTTCTTTTCTCTGGAATTTCAATTACGTCTACACGATGCGTATATTTAAATAAACTTGTACTTGACCGAAGCAAAGTCTAATTAATATTCAAAGAGTCTAAGTAGATGCAATTGATATTCAGCTCGTGTTTTACCTCATGAAGTTACTACAAACACCCTATCTAGTATAGATAAAAAGACAGACCCGTTTTTCCTTTCTTGGTCTCCTTTTACAGACTATTATGCAAATGTTATTTACAGGCCTCTTTACTGTACTCGAATTTCCGGAAAAAAAGGGTGGATCGATTCATTCATATAAAACATGAGTATCCTTTAGTGCAGTGGTAACACATTGGAAAATGTTTTCCCACCCAAGCACTCAAGTCTTGCATTTGCTAACACAAAGACTGGAAAGTTTGTGTAAACTCACATCAAACTCCACTAAATCCGGATTAAATCCAGATACGAGTCTCCGCGCAACTAACCCTCGCGCTGGTTTATAGTATCATGCACATCCACGTCTAAACTATTTATGCAAATATGAAGTTCCTGCTCCACGCAAGAACTAGAAACATGTTGTGCTCCGCTCGCTCGCGGAGGGATGCATGCGTTCTTACCTTCAGCGATCAGTGTGAACGCCAGGAAAACACGCTCGGCGCTCGGAACTTTGCGCTCGCGTCTTCTCGTCCAGAAACCCATGGTTTAGGTCGATAAAGGCGACGGGTATCAATTAAAGGCTCAAAAGTTCATGTATGTACAAATACTGCAATCGCAGGCTGTATAAACGCTCAAATCCAGTTTCCTCGAAGCGAGTCGGTCTTTCAGGAGTTCACACCGGTTAGTGCGGAGCTGTGGGTTTGGTTGGATGTGTCAGGCGCTCCATGCTGAATGCTCCTCGAAATGGAGACAAAGAGCCCCTCTGAGCGTGTTTGAGCCAGCGCTGGGTCTGGAGTCGTGTTTCTCGGGTGGGTGGGCTCTACGGGGCTGAGGAAGGTGAGTGCAGAGCGCTGACACCAGTCTCTTACAGGTTACTTTCACTCTGTTCAAATGACCGAATGCATTCATAATATATCCACCGTTATTTAAAACAGCCGCATAAGTAGGCCTACTAAAGAATAGCTACCGGTCTCAAATAACATTTGTTCTTCATCATGACTGCCCTCTGTTGGACCTTTCCAGGTTTGTTGCGGACCCGCAGCGCTCTGGGACGTCACGTGCGCTCTCTGAATGAACTGAACAACATTGGTACAGTGTAGCAATACGATTATAAGGAATGCTCTTTGTTCTGTGTCCCTACCTGCAGCAAGATTTTTTTTTTGGTCTTCTTTATTTGGTAATATCTCTTGGGTTAACGCATGGAAACTGCCAAATACGTTTTGTATCAATAACAAAATTAAGGAAGTGTCTTACAAAATACTTCATCGAATTTATCCTGCTAAGCATGTTTTGGAAAGATTTAAGCTTAATATTTCGTATACCTGTGAATTTTGTGGTCAAGGAAAAGTAACTATTTTGCATCTTTTTTTTTTCCATTGTATTTACTCGAGATTATTTTGGAAGGATTTGGAATTCTATAGAACAACATATTATACATTTGTTTATTTTGTTAGGAAAATTCCATATACATAAGAAGAAGTGGGCTCAATGTAAACCAAATTTTGCACATTTTATAAATGACTTTAAATTATATGTAAATCTCTTAGAACAAACAAAAAACAAAAAAGCACTGAATTGGTTCAAGGAAGGTATTCTTTTAGTAAGACAGTTAGTTAATTCCCATGGGTACTTGTTGTCGTATACTGAATTTCTTCAGAAATTCCAATTACCAGTTAAACCAAGAGAATTTGCTATTGTTTTTGACGCAATTCCAAAGAGTGTGATGTTACTTTTAAAAAACTGCATCTCAGAAGAAATCAGCATGGTTAATCCTTGTGGTAACATTTTCATTGAAAATGTCAACGTTTTAAAACAACAGTGTAGCAATAAGATTATAAGGAATGCTCTTTGTTCTGTGTCCCTACCTGCAGCAAGATTTTTTTGGTCTTCTTTATTTGATAATATCTCTTGGGTTAAAGCATGGAAACTGCCAAATAAGTTTTGTATCAATAACAAAATTAAGGAAGTGTCTTACAAAATACTTCATCGAATTTATCCTGCTAAGCATGTTTTGGAAAGATTTAAGCTTAATATTTCGTATACCTGTGAATTTTGTGGTCAAGGAAAAGTAACTATTTTGCATCTTTTTTTTTTCCATTGTATTTACTCGAGATTATTTTGGAAGGATTTGGAATTCTATATTGACAGAAAAATAGAGTGTATGATAGAAATGTGTATATTTTATGTACTTTTTTATACAGAAAACGAAAATTTGAATTGTAAAGAACAACATATTATATCTGTTTATTTTGTTAGGAAAATTCCATATACATAAGAAGAAGTGGGCTCAATGTAAACCAAATTTTGCACATTTTATAAATGACTTTAAATTATATGTAAATCTCTTAGAACAAACAAAAAACAAAAAAGCATTGAAAACATGTAATGCTGTGAAAGCATTGAACTTTATGTAATTTTCTTCCTTTTTTTCTTTTCTTTTTTTCTCTGGCAGCTAATAATGTTAATTTGATCATGTGAATATGTAATACCTCATGTTCTTGTGGCATTGAATTAATAAAGCATAAAAAAAAAAATACATTATTGGTTGGTTGACATAATGTTCATAATAATAATAAAAACATCAGTTGCATTGTATATATTCAGAATCAGAAAAATCAGAAAGAGCTTTATTGCCAAGTATGTTTGCACATACAAGGAATTTGTTATAGTGTCACAAGCTTCCAGTACACGGAGACAACAACAACACACAGAAAACAAATCTAAGATGTGAATCTAATACACATGTGAGTGGGGGGAGTGCAGGGGGTTTTCTCCTGAAGTCCACGATCATCTATACAGTTTTGAGCGTGTTGAGCTCCAGGTTGTTGAGACTGCACCAGACAGCCAGCTCTTTAACCTCCTGTCTGTAAGCAGACTCGTCTCCGTCCTTGATGAGACCGATGACTGTAGTGTCATCTGCAAACTTCAGGAGCTTGACAGAGGGGTCTTTAGAGGTGCAGTCGTTGGTGTACAGGGAGAAGAGCAGTGGGGAGAGGACGCAGCCCTGAGGGGCGCCAGTGCTGGTGGTGCGGCTGTTGGATGTGAATTTACCAATTCTCACTAGCTGTTGCCTATCTGTCAGAAAGCTGGTGATCCATTGACAGAGAGCTGGGTTAGTTTGGTCTGGAGGAGTGTTGGGATGATGGTGTTGAAAGCGGAGCTAAAGTCCACAAACAGCATTAAATTATGTTATGGATTCAGTTCAGTGGAAACATTCTGTCTTATGAAGACTTGATGCGTTTTTACAACTTTAAAGAATTTCAGCAAGTTGTTAAAGCTATTCCAAACGGGTTGATGCACTTATTACATAATCACCTCACTTTTGGAAGCGATGAAAGGAAACTTCCAGAGTTAATAGTTGATGGCATTGAAATATTTACTTCCTCTTGTAATAATAACAAAGACAAATGTTTCAATCAAAACATAAAATCTTTTGGAATGCAAGAATTCCGGACATTAATTGGAAAGCGGCCTAGTCAAATCCTTGCAAATTTAGTATTTTGAACAAAGTTAAAGAGGTACATTTCAAAATACTTGTCTTTTAGATTTTGGTCTGATGTTAGTGCCTTTTTATTTGTTCAAGAAATGTTAATGACATGCTCTCTTTAAAAGATGTTATTTGCACTTATTCACACAAAAGCAAAATGATTATGTCGTTAACTTTTACATTTTGCAAGGTGAATATTACATTCATAAACAAAAATGTGCAGAATGCATACCAATATGTAATTTACTTTTATTAGAAATGGAATCTTTGATCAAATTAATAACAAAAAGAATGACATAGTGTTAAATTTCATGGAGTTTTTTTCTTGTATTCTTCCCCCACTGTAGTCCTTGATTTTGTGGATGGAGGAAGATTTGAACTATGTTTAGTTGTTTATATGTATTTTTTTATTTTTTATTATTATTATTACTTATTTTATTTATTCTTATTATCTTCTCTTAAATGCTGTTCTTTCTTGTGTATGTGGACTTAATTGTTAAAATTGATTGTAATGTATATTCATTTCTTCAATAATAATAAAAAAAACATCAGTAGCATTATAATTTATTTCATTGTAATTTTGTGTCTTTTTTCTTGTCTTTTTCCTTAAATCTGTCTTTATATAACACGTGGCTACTGAGAGATTTAATAATAATAATAAAAAACTGCATTATTCTTGTTGTAAAACATTTTATATGTGGCTATCATGACTAGAAAAATTAATGAATGT